CAATATTTGCCAAACTTTTTTTATCATTTATCTTGTTGTTCCTAGTATTTAAATAAATTTAAAATTTTCTGTTCCTTTATATAAACCGTTTAAGAGAGGATTTGAAGCATGGTTTAAGTGTCTCTGTCATTTGTCATGTATTAGCTGTTTTTGTTACCACTTGTCCAGGGGTTGTCTAAGTTTACGATGTAATTTCCAAAAGTTTGGTCTTTAATTTCTAAAATATGTAATGTATATTTTATTGTTCTGTTAAAATTGTTCTTTTTAGCTGTAACTTTTGTTGCAGGACTATTGTCATTCTAACCTTTCCATTTTCTTGGATCAAGCCCCAAAATTCTTTATTTTAAATTAATTTGGTGATAAAATATTTTAAATTTATTTTTTATTTTCGTGAACTACGCATTTCGGGCCACATCCCTAGTCCCTTTAAAAAGCTGTTAATTTAGCTGAATTTTCCCTAAATGCCTAAAATTTTCGGATACGCTTTATAAGTTAAGTTAAATACATATAAAATGAGTTCCTCTTTATAATGATTTCTCAAATGATTAACTTTAATTATCAAAGAAAATTCCGAAGATTGCGCAAGGAATCAAACATAGGACGTCGGCGTGACGAATAAGAGAATCTGAACCCTCTGACCACCTCGACTCCCGAATTGCAATAAGTTTTTTAATTTTTTATTTTTTTACGAGGGTTCGCAATAGCAGAGGTTATACCCTCGGGGTGCCGGCGATTTTGAAAAAAGCCCAGTTGTAAGTATGTCGGGTCCGAATGCAGGGCCGCTGGATTCGAACCCGGAACCTTTACCTTACAGTGATTAGCCGTGTCAACGCCTAAACCGTTGCGGCCACCGACGCCCCAATTTCAACAATTATATCAAAACGAGTTTACAGTAATTTATTAACTCAATAAAACGGAATTTTACGATTTTTACAAAAGCATTTTGCTTTCAATTGACTTGAGCAATAGCGAGTAGGTTCCTAATTAGCATGGCTATTGATGTACGATAGCACAGCCCTCACATTAAATACTAATTAAGAATAATGTTATATAATTAAGCATTAAATAAATGTATTAATTAGTAAACCGACAAAACAACATTTTATCGCTCATCTTGAATTCTAATGTGGAACAAAGTCTTGATTTTTTCTCAACCTTCTTCTATCATTGAATAATGGCAGGGTGTAAAGCTAAAGAACTAAAATTATTTAGAAGTATTGTAAATTTTGAAACTTTAAAGTATCTATATAAACATTTTCCAGTAAATGTGTGGTGTTAAGTGTTTGTTTTCTGTGTAGTTGTTATAGGGCACTCTCAACAGGACACACAAGAATGACACATCTACACAGTAAACAAACACTTTGAGCCCTGGAGATGATCTCAATAAAGATCGAAACGTTGGCGCGATAAAGAAAATGTTTTTCGAAAACCTACGTCACCCCAGACCGCACTTCACGATCTCCAAATAATCACTGGCTAACGGTCACTAAATACTACACATTTCACACACGTTTCGATCTTCATTCAGATCATCTTCAGGGCTCAAAGTGTTTTTTTTTGTTCAGTTGTTATACGCCACTCTCAACAGGACACACAAGAATGACACATCTACACAGTAAACAAACACTTTGAACCCTGAAGATGATCTCAATAAAGTTCGAAACGTTGGCATAGTAAAGAAAATGTTATTCTAAACCCTACGTCACACCAGACCGCACTTCACGATCTCCAAATAATCACTGGCTAACGGTCACTAAACACCACACATTTCACACACGAATAAAGAAAATGTTTTTCTTAAACCTCACACCAGAGCGCATTTCACGATCTCCAAATAATCATTTATTAACGGTCACTAAATACCACACACACAAAATAATAATAATAATGAAAGAAGGAAATAAGATATGTATGTCCAAATATTGATTTTTTTTGTCTGAATTTTAATACGTTTAAACGTAAATTAAACAAAATAAATATAGTTGTATTTATTATATAAAATATATTGGGCGTCGGTGGCCATTTAGGCGTTGACACGGCGCTGATCTCTGTAAGGAAAAGGTCCCGGGTTCGAATCCAGCGGCCCTGCATTCTAACCCGACATACTTACAAATGGGCTTTTTTTTTCAAAAACACCGGCACCCTGAGGGTTTATATAACCTCTGCTGTTGCGAACCCTCGCAAAAAAATATAAAAATAATATATAAAATATAATTATTCTATTATATAAAATACGTATTATTATATAAAATATATAAGTATAGTTTATTGTTCATTATTATTGTTTTGTTCCGTTATTTTATAAAGTTATGCTACTATTAAATTGCTTATACCTCTTGAATTATATTCTTTGTAAAGAGATCTTTGATCTGTTTGTGTATATATAAATAAATTTATATAAATTGAGAATACCATTTGTGGTGAACTTGCATTCATCAGCCAGCAGGATGTATGGAGAATATTTTCTTTTGAATCCAAAATCGACATATCTGAAAGGAATATTAACCAAATATCAAAGTGGTAAAGAAAAAAAAACACATACCCACTGGTTGCAGACCCAACGACATCCCAAGAAATTTATAAAACAGGCTAACACCAAAATAAAACCGAAATTTAGATCTTTCTTTTCACATTTTGTGCCATAACTTTGTTATTCTTTGACCAGTTTAAAATCTAATTGAACCTATCGTTTTCGTGTAAAATATCTTTTAAAACAGTAGGTAAACAATTATACGTTCTCATTTAACATTTCAAAGTTGCACTGGCTTATCCCGACAAAAATTTAAAAAAAAATGTTAAAATTTAAACTAGACTAAAGAATTTAAATACTTTTTCTTCGATAATGCCATCAGTTCAAGAGAAGTTTAGCCGGGCCATCTGAAAAGGAGACACCCTGCATAATTTGAATAAATCACCTCACAAGGGATTTAGACCAAACTTTTTTTGGTGATTCTACACTCCAATATATCGGACACTTATCCGCCACTTCTTGTTAATAGGCCCAGGTTTCGCTTAAAAAATTTTTGAAAGTTGAAATTTACCTTTTTATTTAATGTTTATTTCGCCGTTCTTCTTGCTCAAATCAACTATGTTAATATATCATTTTACAGTATTTTTTTTATGTAGATAGCAATAAAAATCTAGTAAAAACTATCAAGTTTATAATAACCTAAAAAAAAATGTTCAAGTAAACTAGGCCATATTTTTTTCTTAAAACTAATATGAAATTTCGCTTTAGCACCTCTAGAGAACCCTAAATATAAATTTTCGTTTGAATTTAAATTTATCGATTTTTGGACCCTTAAAATTTTTCATTTAACTTTTTTTTTTGTATATTTTAACAAACCTGTAAGGAAAGTAAGTCAGAAAATGGTCAAAACTTGGATTTGATCTCATTATCGATTTCTAACTTTATAAAACCTTTGAATACCGACTTTCGCGGAAATCGGTGTAATTTTTTGACTGATAACTGACTGATTTTTTGACATTCCTAGCGCAAATTCTAACGCCATTTTTCTCAATACTTAAGAGAACGATTTTCATGGTTGATAATTCGGTTTGAAGAAATTGTCAAGTGCATTTCATAAATGTATCAAACATTAAAACCGGACTATTATGTCCATTTAAAAAATGAGGTTAATTTGTGGAAAATATATTTTCTTATTTTATGTAATTTCTTATAGAAATGTTTTATATATTTTTATAGTTTATACGTCATTAAAAAGCTCTTTCAAATGGTATGTTTGATGTTAAAATCCTTTTAGTTATTTTTGAATTATAACCGTTTCAACCAGATATTCCGATTCTAACAAAAATATATATTTAGGGGTCTACAGGTCCTAAAACGAAATTTCATATTAGTTTTAAGAGAAAACTATTTTATGTCCTAATTTATTTGACAAAAATTTAGTTTTTTTGAAAATTTTCGGTTTTTGATGAATTTTGATAGCTTTTACTATATTTTTATTGCAATATACATAAAAAATGCTGTAAAATAATTTATTAACATATATGATTTAAGTAAGTACAATAGAACGGCGTAATAAAAATATTGAAAAACGGTAAATTTCAACTAAAAAATAAAAAATAAAAATTTTAAAAAATGGGGGAAACCAGGGCCTGTTCACAATAAATGGCCGATACGTGTCCGATATTTTGGAGTGTAGAATCAAAAAAAAAAAAAAAAAAAATTGGTCCAAATCCGTGACCAACCTTGAACCCCTTGTCAGTTTAATTTGTCGTTTAATTCTTTAAATCCTTTATTTGTTGCCAAGAACAAATCTACTGAGACAAAGTGCTAAATACTGAAACACTTTTTAAAAGAAATTACTTTAAATGTTGAATTTTGTTCGTTTCGACGTTGATAAAAAGTTTTTTTAAACCCAAGATTACTCATTGAAAGTTTAATCTTTCTTGTTATCTTGTTTAATTATCGGAACAGCGATTTGTTTTAAAAACATATTAAAACGTTCCTTTATATAATTATTTGTAAGATTTTAGTAATAATATTGAAGTAACACTTTTATAATCCTATTTTATTGAGTATTAACTGTTATTTTAATGAGTTTCCATCTTGGAATATTGTTCTTCCTTAGGAAAATACCTTTGGAAAAAGTTTAAACTGATGATGTTTTAAATAAGCTTTAGCATCTTTTTTGGCCATTGAAGCAATAAACTATATCCATCTTCATCAGACAGGATAGTTTCCCTTTTGAAAGAACTCTTACCCATTTGGATTGACGAATTGATTCGTTTTGGGCAGAGAGTCAAGAATGTCTTCATTTTATTATTTTACGTACTAAAAAATCTTTAAAATAACAAAGTAAAAAAAACTATTTCGAGTTCCTTAGAAGCTTGTGTTTTGTAAATTTAATAGCCAAGGCCTTCAATGGCCTACATGTCTCTTAAATCTACTTTACTTTTTCCCTTTTATCTATTTGCTTCCAAATTCCCAAATAAATAACTAAATTTCAATTGTTATTTTTCATTGGATTAATTGTTGTCTCTTTCCTCTAGATCCTAAGCCAAATTTGGCCCAATGTGAACCACTACGCCAAAGATTTGATAAAAGACGTTATAGAACCGGCGATCCAAGAGAACCTCTTGCTCTACAAATTGAACGGTTTCGCGTTTCAGAAAATGCGTCTTGGCACAATAGTAAGTACCACCAGGCGGCCCCTTTGACTATTTTTACGTCGGCTCTTCTTTCCTCAACTTTGTCTTTTTTATACTGCCGACTGATTTTATTCGAACGTTTATTGTTTTTTTTCTTCTTCCTACCAGCCACCCCGGATAGGAGGTGTCAAAGTCTACGACAAAAACGTCTCGAGGGATGAGATCATCATGGACATGGATATTTTGTAAGTGATCTGCCCGTTTGTCTATTGAACAAACGTTTTCCTCACTTAGATTTCTTAGAAAAACAGCTTTTGCATTTCTGTATGAATCATTTCCGTTTGCAAGGACGTTTCCTCACGGTTTCGTCACTGACCTAAAAACATACATCTGACTACTATTTAGATTCAAGGAAAAAATTTTAATTCCATCCATTTTATATCGAACTCTTCTAACATCTACCATGTCTTGTTAGCTCTTAAACTGTCCATATCTGTAATTATATTTCAGATAACATTAAACAGAATATTTAATGATTTATATTTTTATGTCAAGCATGATGAAAAGATTAGTGTCACGAGAGGGACGCGAACCCACGACCTTTCGGGGGACCGCGGTAGCCGAGTGGTTATTATGAGAGACTCTCACGCCGCGGTCGTGGGTTCGATTCCCACCGTCGCCTCTGGCCCTTTTTTCACAATAACCCCCCCAAATTTGAACACACATATATGAATTGTCACATGGCTAATATGCATAGTTCATAACGCCAAAAAAAAAGAAAAAACCCACGACCTTCGGCGCAATTCGCCTCTGATATAACCACATGAGCTATCCTGACTCCGGTACCTCCGAAGTTAAAAAAATAAAAATATAAAATGGCAGGCAAAAATTCCACCCACTTGTAATATAACTTGATTTGGAGTTATTTTTATATATTAATCAAAGTTTCATAATTCAGTTTTTGTCTAAAAAAGTTTTAAAAAAATGTAAATTGCTTAGGAAAAAAATGACGGACCGGTAAAATTAGTTTTAAATTTTTAATTAACATTTCAATATTGCGTATTTTCTCCTCTTGCCTTAATTACATCTCGAAGTCGCCTCGGCATACTTTCTACCTGCCTGGAAATGTCTCTTTGCTGGAGGTTTGCCCATTTTTCAGGAAGAGTCTATTCAAGATCAAGGCCAATTCAAGTGACTATACTCTTATTCGTCTTTTGAGGTTATACTATAAATCTTCGATGTGGTTCTAGACTGGAGAACGGGTTGTTGAAGGTACACTTGTACTATGTGAGCGAAATGTGGTACATTATCATGCATTAGAAAAGGATTGTTGCTGATTTCATCGAGGCTATGCAATGCATGATGTTCCAAAATTTCATCCACATAGCGACTGGCCGTCAAAGACCCTCCACGAACAACAGCAAACTCTTTGGGGCTCTCCATTGAAATTCCCGTCCACACCATCACTAAGCTACGTTGAAAAGGTCGACTCTGGGAAAAATTACGAGCTTCGTACCTTTCATTTTGCCTTCTACACACTCTTTCACACCCATTGGAGATTGTAGAGCAAATTTACACTCATCAGTAAAAAGTACAACAGACCAATCGTTCAAAGACCAATGGTTGTGTTCTTGAGCAAATGGTGCAACTCTGCATGTTCTGGTCAATTCTGGTCCCCTAACAGGGTGAAAAGCCATCAGTCCATACTGATTTGATCTTCTTCAAGCAGTGCGTTCAGAAATTTGGACATTTTCCTGGAGCTGATGAATCGCTACCACAGTAAGGTGCGGGTTTCACAAAGTCAAAAAACAGCGATCTTGTGGTTCTGTTACCCTAGATCGTCCAAAACCGGGCCTTCTATGGTAGGACCCAGTTTCTCGAAAACGTTTAAAGGCGTCTCACAGAGTTTCTTAGGGAACTCTGATGGCATTAGATAATAAAATTGATGGAACATGCATCATCAATAAGTGCCACACCACGTGCAGCATCCTCAGCACTAAGTGGCATTTTTAAGTTTAAAAATTGAAATTAAGAAAACAAAGATGAAAAGGAAACAGTTTATTGCTTCAGAATTCAAATGAGGCTGGCTATATAAACATTTTAAATGCCGTAAAAAGTAGACATTGAAAAATCCTTCATCCTTGTTTTGGATCAAGGATTAAGTGTGTTTACCTCTAATTGATATTCCCAATTTAAAACTTTAACTAAAGAACTAAACAAACTAACTAAACAAACTTTAACTTAAGATGAATTAAGGGCAGAATTTTCTCTTATCGAGAAAAAAAAATCAATTAGGTGGAATTTTTTGCCTGTCAGTTTAGAATATGTTAACATTAGATTGTTTCAATTTTTGAGTATTGTCCATCAGTGTATAATCACATTTTAAATTAAACCAAAACAATCTGGCATTATAAAATAAATCAAAGTGTACAGTGATCGAACAATTTTGTAAAATGCATTAATTAATTTCGGATCATTAGACATCAAGGCTATCAGTTGATCCCGTAAAGTTATGGTGTCCTCGAGAGTAGCTGCCCCAGTAAGTACGTCGTATAGATCCTGATTTAAAGCAGCGGAAGCAGCAGGATATACCTTTCCTTCATCGCTGACCAATTGGTGAATAACTCGCAGCGCATCTAATTTACAGACACACAAAAGAACCCAAACTTATGGCATCTGAATAATTACTTTAATATTGTTGGCCACAACACAATGTTTGTCTCTATGATTTGAAGAATCAGGTAGTGGTGACACTTCTAGCAAGGTCTGTGCTACATCTTTCCGCCCAACAGTTCCCGAGTCCACTACCTGATAGTTCGGGATGTTAGGTTTAAAACTAAGGTGTATTCTAGGGGTCATTACTTCTAAAGACAATCTTTATAATAATGTTTCAGTTAACTTGCACCTCTTATACCCAAGAAACACTGTTTCACAATGATTGTCAGTTGTTATCTCAATGAATCACTTTTTCTTTCTTCTATTTGTTTGCTAATAGACTTATATTATTTCTAGTAATTTCTCAATTATTGATCCCGTTAAATCAAAAATATTTAATTCAATGCAAAAGATGTTTAACATTACTTGAGTATGTCAACAACAATTTTCATGTTGGTAATATTTTAGTTTATTTGTTTATTTTATGGAGTTTTATTTATTTTTTATTTAAAGGATTTTATTTTATTTAATGAAAGCCGGGTTAGAAATGGCAGCAGTTCAAAACATTTATGGCTGTTAAATGATGATATCTTTTTGGCCAGGTTTTCTGGCTTGTCTTGCCATCGTTAAATTATCTTTATAAACTTTTTTTCTGTTTCCTAGATATAATTAAACTAGGCATAAACCTGTAAATACTGTTGTACATTTCATTTATGTAAAGCCTGGAAAGTTTGTAAATTTATATTGAATTTAGAAAAACTAATATTACTAACTGGTTTTTATTTGGCCATTATCCAGGTAAAAGAATTCTCAGGTGGAATGAACTCTTCGTTTACACCCAAAATTTTACACTGTCTTTACAATAAAACACAAATATGTGTATTATTTGGCACTTTCACAAACTTTTCGCTGATGGTTTATTTTACTCTATTATATATACAGTTTATACAGCCCGTCATGTTGCTCTTTACATAATTTTTATTGAATTACATAATCAAATAAAAATTTTTTGTTTATATTTCTCCTTTTAGCTATGCTGGAGATTGTGACATTTCATTCACACTTGCTGGTGTTTCCGGTGGAATCAAAGATTTTCAGGTATATTATTTTAAATGTTGATAAATAATTTAAACGAAATATAAAAGGTCCTTGAGCGGGGAAAAATCTGTGAGAGATAATATATTGCCAAGTAAAAATTTAATCTAAACTGCTCAAAAATGAATAGGGATATTTGTAATTTATTCTTATTCTATTAATTTTAATTAAGTTAACCGATATATTCTTGTTAGTTGGATAAAATTAATTAGAAAATACAAAAAAAAGTTAATCCTTCCTTTTAATAATGAATTTACTTAAGAATATTTATTTAGAAATCGTGAGATGTGGTCTGGTGTGATGTAGGTTTCAGAAAAACATTTTCTTTACGTGCCAACGTTTCGATCTTTATTGAGATCATCTTCAGGGCCTGGGATTTACAAACATTGTTTACATATAACAATTGCATTTTGGATGTGGAAAAACCTACACTGGAAAAAAGTGAATTTATACAATGCAAAAATTTTTTATATATTAACGATAAAGAAAATGTTTTTCTGAAACTTGCATCACACCAGACTGCATCTCACGATTACTAAATAAATATAGATTAACGGTCACTAATCACCACACATTACTTAAGAATAGTAAACATAAAGATTATTTATTTTGTAAACAAATACCTTTTCTCGACTTTTATCCATTTTAATCCATTCTCCTTAACCATGGAAAGACATCATTTTTAACCAAAAGTTTGCAATATTATTGTGTGGATGAGTCATCGAGATCATCGGTAAGTGGATATCACAGAGGCAGTTGGCATTTCTAAGAGCATGGTCTTCGGGGCTTTAGCTCAATTCCGAATGACTGGAAGTAGCAATAGGAGGCCTGTAGTGGATTCCAGCGCATTACTATGGTGAGGGAGGGCAGAAATAATGATTGCTGGAAGGCAGAACCCTTTCCATACTGCCCACCAAGTTTTAAATGAAGTACCAAAAAATGCTAGGGAAAGTAAATACTACAAAATTGGCAATATCCCTATTCATTTTTGAGCAGTTTACATTAGATTTTTTTACTATTTGTCCCAATATATCTGCAAATATTATTTTATTTTAACAGATTCACGGAATGGTTAGAGTAGTTATGAAGCCTCTTATAACCACAATGCCTTTAGTTGGCGGTCTTCAAATATACTTTTTGAACAACCCGACGTTAGATTTCAACTTAGTCGGAATGGCAGATCTTCTCGACATGCCCGGTTTGAGGTTAGTTGTTTTCATTTATTTTAAACCATTGTTAAAATATCAATTAATCTATTTTCAACATTTTAAGTGACATGCTGCGAAGGATTATTGTAGAGCAAGTAGCGGCTATGATGGTTTTACCAAACAAGTTACCAATAATTTTAAGTGATGCTGTGCCAGCCCAGGTTCTGAAATTCCCAGAGCCGCAAGTAATAATTTTAAGATGTCACGATTCTGTCACCTGTTAATTGATTATTAATCAATAACATTTTGTCAGGGTGTTCTGAGAGTTCATGTCGTAGAGGCCAAGAATTTGATGAAGAAAGACATTTCAGTCCTTGGCAAGGGCAAATCCGACCCGTACGCCATAATTACACTCGGGGCAGAGAATTTTAGAACGCAGACTATTGACAACACAGTTGATCCCAAATGGGATTACTGGTGTGAGGCAAGTGAAACCTTATTTAACTCTTAACATTGATGCCAATAGAATAGGAGAATAGTTGAACCTAACATACCGAATAATAAATGTCGCGAATTTCACAGGTACGTTTTTTAATTAGTAGGCATGTTGTTGAAATTATAATTTTTTCTTAACATTTAATGCACGACAGTGTAAATGAAATATAGGTTGCTACAGGTTCAGAAAACAATTTCACAATTAATTATTCATTATTAATACTTAATTTATTCAGTACTTGACCGTTTGGTGTATATTTTGCCTTTCAAAGAGATTTAATTACTAATTATATCAGTTAATGCTTTTCCATGTAGAACCTTAACAGCATCAATCTCCATTTCAAAGAGTTATGCAGAAAATAATTATTGTGGTTGATAATGATATTTTATAACCATGGATATGAGTTATGGTGTGGTTTCCTTCTAAATTAATAACGAAATATTATTTTTGCATGTTTTGCCATGATTGTTATTATTTTGTTTTTTTCTCTTTTATTGTAATTGTTATTATGTAGTTCCCGATTCATACAGTAACTGGCCAGAATGTGGATGTCAGGCTGTTCGATTATGATGACTCTAAAAAGGACTCAAAATTAGGATCGTAAGTGTACGAATTGTACAGATTGGCTCATACAAGTGTGCATGTTTTGTCTACAGCCATTAAATTGTTTAAAAGTATATTGGGGGGGAAAAAATAAGAAAGCTCTCTGCGGGGGTGTAAAATATATTTTTAACTTAGGTGGTCTTCCGCTATTATTTCTTCTGCATGAAAATATCCAAATAAACTGTACATACAATAATAATTTACTTTAAGCAATGGTACCTGCAGTATTAATGTTGTATGTGGAGGTAAATCACTTGCATATTTCACCATGAAAATCTGTGTTTAATTTGAACTTTCTCTTTCTTTATTCTTTGTTGTATTAACTTTTTAAATAAATTCTATTATTCAGTTCTTGCATCTTTAAAATTAAAGGCTTTGAAGATGATTTTTCATTTGTTAATTTTTATTCATTAGTCAAAAACGATAATTGGAAAAGAAACATCAAGGGGCTCACTCAATCACTTCTGTTTAGAAAATATATTCATATAATTAAACAGTGCTCTCTCCTTAATCAACAGCTGATTGTATTTTTTTGCTGGCTCCATTTTTTTATGAGCTCGCAACACGTGTGTGAATTGAGCCTCCGGTGTACCGGTGTTCTTCCATCAAACTCATTTTTAAAGGGGATTGGGACCAAATTCAGGGTCGCTGAGATCCAATCCGCCCCAGACCTTCTGTTGATGAATGCCGTGTCAATTTCTTTCAATTGCGGCCACCGGTCCCCTTAGGCTTCAGAAAAAAAGTCCAGAGGCGATAGTGGGGATCGAACCCACAACCGCGGGGTTTAGTAGCCGAGAGTCTGACGCCTTATCCACTCGGCTACCCTCACCTCCCTTCACTACTAAAAAATGAAAAGTTAGGTCAGCTTCTTGTGTTAAGTAAAATATACTGCATAAAAATGAGGGAAAAAGAGGAAGAAGCAATGAAAAAGAAAACTTTTTTTTAAACTTGTCAGTACATTATTCTAATAGGTTTAACATCTTGCGTATGCAATCCTTATAAAATATTGTGTTGAAATTATTTTTCTATACATAAGTATATGTATTTTTAACTCACTCTGTAATCAAAATTTTTCAATAATCCCTATACTTTCTGCAGAAATTAGTTCAGATTACTGACAGAGCACTGTATTCTAAAGTAATAGGAAATGTTATGTTTATTTTAGTTGTAAATGTGTGATATGTAGTTTATGTTAAACAATGTTGATTGAACGAGTGTAAATTGTAGTTTCTTGTAAGCATCATTCAAATTCCTTAATTTTTTTTTCTTTTGGACCCCCTTAGATGGTATACCAGTTTTGTACAGCATTGAAATCATTTTAGGCGATAGTTACATCTCGAAGAGTTCAAGAACTCAGAATGACGGTGTGGGACTGGGATCCGAAATTACCCGGGGTTAAGGATGATGATTTTTTGGGAAGGTAGACTCAATTTCAAGAAACTTCATATAATATAATTTTTTTTTAATTTAATCGCACGCATTTGACGTGTTGGAAAGATTTGTTCATACGATGTCCATACATCCTTGCACACTCCTTAATTGATCTTTCCCATGTTACTTGCGCCTGCACGTAGTTTGAATTTTTTTTTAATTTTTCCTCCATCCATTGTTTTGTTTTGTTTATTTCCCCTGGCATATGATTTGAATGACTAATGTTCATCAAGAGTTTTTATTATAGTTTTGTGTGGAGACTGCAAGAGGACAGCTTTTCTCAGCTTTCATTTTTGACAAAGATAAAACAGGAAAAGATGAGCCTCTTGGAAGGTATTAAACATCTAGTGTATTTTTAAATTTAGTATAATTTAAGAGAAAATTCTTTTTATTTGTTCAATGAAAAAAAAAATCCTTTCACTTCTCTTTTACTTTGCTTGAAGGTAAAGTCTCAAATTTTCTTCTAACTGATTGAAATTTTCATGAACATTAACATACTAATGTCACTCCATTAAAATATTTAATTCATAACTTTAAATTTCATGCATGGAAAGGTCTTATGTCAGAATTTAAAAAATTTTGCATTCTCCTCATTTATTTTATTCACTTGATATGTGTAATTATTATAAAACTTCATTTATAACTATCTGCACTGTTCATTTTACGTAGTGCATTTTTGTTTCTGCTGTTTTTACGCTTAGACTAGTTTAATATTTTTATTTCGCTGAGGTCCCATCCTGCATAAGTTTTTCAATTAACCCACTTGATAACAAATATTTACTTGTTTCTAAAACAGCAGGATGTAAACTCACATAATAAACCAGTATAAATTAATTTATTATATATATTTTTTTCTCTCTCACTTTCCTAGAGCTACTGTCGAGGTGTTGGGTGTTACGCGCAAAGGACAAACAGACACAGTAAGTTTTTATTTACTTTTTATTTTATTTATTTATTTTAAAGTAAGATTAATTTTGAATTATTTTATTAGTGGGTTTCTTTGGAAGATGCAACAACTGGAATGGTACATTTGAGAATGACCTGGCTTCAGCTTTCCTCCAGCTTGGCAGACTTGAAAGATGTAAGTCTTTCATGTATTTTACACTGATTGAACATGAAGAGAAATATCATTTAAAAAAAAAAATCGATCTAACTTGTTAACACATAATTGTGGCTAAGTCAAATAATTATTAGTAATTAATTTAGTTCATTATTATTACTTGTGTTTTTTATTGAAAAATAAAATCAGGTTGCTTTAATTAATAGAAAAGCTGAGTTTTCTCAGCGCTTGCAAGTAACTTATGAATTATAGTATATTTATAAAAAACGAGTTCTTTAAAGGCCAACCAACACAAGGTCAAGTGAAATCATCTAGCAAAGTTATCATAAAATTGTGCTATGTTCACCTCATAGACTAGCATACATATCACATAGTGCGATACATATATGTGAACATCATTAGAAGACATATCTCACCTGTGATGCTAAGATGGTAACAAAGGTTGATAGTCAATGGTGAGTCAGTAGTGGAGTTGAGTAGACACTGCTAGTCACGGGTCAGTTATACTTCAGAGTTTAGATTTAGTCATTGGTCAGTGCCCAGTAATGAGTTAGAAGATGGATTTTGTATGGGACAGTTGTTAAGCCAGGAACACACTTACCCGATGCTTTGCCATGCGACGCTACCCGACGCCTTGCCACGTTTTGGTGGGGTGTGCACATCTATCTGACGCAAGTATATGTTGTGTACAGTCCATAGCGTTTATCACGATAATCACTATCACAATCACAATGCTTTTTGTTCTTAATGCATTTTGAGCAAAACCTTGTAATAAATTGTTAGTTAAATTTTATGAGCACAACCATCTAATAAATTGTTTGTTAAACTTAATTTTTTTAAATAAAGTTACTCCTAACCATCATAATTAAACAATGTTTATAAAAACTTATGCATTTTTATCTCGTTTAATTTGGTTTACATTAAAATAACATGTTGTAATTAATATAACGACAAAATTACATGTACTTAGTTTGAAATAAACTACAAAAAATATGAGTGTCCTGTTCAGATGCTACCCGACACTACAAAATTGTGTAATTTTACGAGCAAAACTATGAAATAAATTGTTAATTAAATTTTATGAGCAAAACCGTGTAATAAATTGTTCCAATTTTAGTATATGTACTGCCGAAGCGAGTACAATAAATTGTTAGTTAAATTCATTATATCAAAAAATCGTATTCTGGTGTTTTGATTAATTTTCTACCAAACCATTGAAATTAATTTTTTAAATAAAACTAATTAATTTTTAATCGCAGTTAATTTGGCTTATATTAAAATAAGTATGTTGTAATTAATATAACGACAATAATACATGTAGTTTGAATAAAAATATGAGTGTCCGGTTCTTTTGTCTTCGACTGTACTCAATGCGACCCGATGAAAATCTGGACAGTGGGGATCACAGAGCGTCGGGTAGGTTAGCGTGGCATAGCATCGGGTAGATGTGCATGGGGGTAATGCAACCTTATGGAAAATCAGAGTTTGGATTTGCGTCGGGTAGCGTCGCATGGCGTAGCATCGGGTAAGTGTGTTTCTGGCTTTAGTCTCAAACATGGAGACAAGTTGGCCAGACCGTTGTTAGAGTTGTATGGAATGGGCGAGCTTTGAAAGTTGAGTGGTTTCAGCTTAGATAACGTTTTTGTGGATTTTAAGTTTGTTGCCCTCAATCTAGACATCTCTAAACTAAATCCACCTCTACCTTCCCTCATCAATGGATCGATAGCAGTACTTGTTTCGAGAAATACTCGAACAAAAACTGAACCCAAATACTTTTTTCAGAACTACCCAGCAACTAGGTGACAATGTAGAACCCTTGACTAACTCAATACAATTGAGTATGTAGGACTCCACATTACACATTAGTCCAGGAAGTACTGCAACTCGACTGTACAATTTACCCCTCCAGCTAACTGCTCTCCCTCAGGTGCTCTGCAAGAGCTCGGTGGCATCGCACTGGACACCCCTCCAACTTTTTAACCATTTAACTAAACATTTATCCAATTAACTGCACAACACTCAACAAACACTCGATTTATACATAATCACTAATTACAGATGACAATTTACTACGGACTACTACAACAAAAATCCTCACATTTAAAAACACATCTCATACTCTGCAATGGACACATGGAACTTGTACCAAATCCAGAGGGCAAAGCACAACTCCTAGCCCAACACCTCTCAGCAGTATTCAATCCTTACCCAGACTCCACCAGTCGGTACACTATATGTCAGACGACTGGCAGGTAGGGTTCCTGGCCGACTTGACACCGACAGTGAAAGGGGATGATAGGAAACTGGTAAAATGAACCCCTGGGTCAGATCCAACCCATACCTTACCATTTGAGGGTTAATGAACTCGGTGAACCATTACCTCTCTCCTATCTTCCAAAGCTATTCTCTCCTGATGAAGTCAAGCAGGCCATCCTAAAACTTTCTAGAAAGAAAAGCCTTGGTTACATCCTAATCACTCATTACCATCCTCTCCCAACTATCTAAAAAAGCTGTTATCTTCATAACCTACCTATTCAGTACCATCCTATGCACAACCATGCCCCACCCTTTGGAAATTTTTGATCAGGATGCTACAAAAAACTTAGAAAACTAATCACCTTCCTAGCTCCTACCGACCAATCAATATTTTGCCCATTATTGGCAAAATACTAGAAAAGTGCCTATTGATCTGCTTGTCTAAGGAAATTCATACAAACACAATTCCCTATCACTAATTCAGCTTTCAGAATTGCCACTTGAATGTACACAAGCACATCACATAATCAACGTTAATTCCGATTACCTTGAAATACAACAATATTACCTGGGTGTGTTCTTAGATAAACACTGAGCCTTTGACCAAGTAAGGCACTCCGGGCTATTGCAGAAGCTCAAGATCATCCTACCAGCAAGCAACCTATTACTTTATCCTAAGATCTTATTTTAACAATTTTTACTTCCAAGTATCCCTCAAAACTTCCCCTATCCATCCTATTCTAGCTGGTGCCCTACTGGGCTGTGTGCTCGCTCCTTTCCTTTACACATTTTATACCTCTGACCTACCAATGCAACATAAACCTCACCTTCACTTACGATGAATACCGCAATCTTTCTTTTGACAAAGATTCTGTCACGGCTTCTTATAATTTCCAAAATCACTTACTTATCGTCGAAATAAACAAACATAATGTTCACCCTAAGTAAGAAAACACACTCCCACTAGTATATCTCAACAACATTCCGGTCCCTGTTGTACCATGTATGATAACTCCGACTCTGCCTGGGACAAACGGCTGATGTAGAACCCACATATATGACTTAAGCACACAGACTACTCGACATGATTTTTCATGCTAAAACGACTCCTCAACAGATGATCTAAATTTTCCTAGACAAACAAAAGAAAATATAACCATACCGCCTAAATGTTCCTCTTGTTACTCAACTAGCCTGATCCCACTACAAAACATTCCATTTCAAACTATCCCATCATCCAAACCCGTCATCCACCACATCACCTAATAATCCTAACATAAGACTGAAGCGTCGGTGGCCCCGCGACAACTTCACTACTTGACATCAGTCTCCTAGGATGGAGTCCATCTCACTCATCGTATTGATGTAGTGACGGCTACCATCACTGGATGGTTGATGTTCAAGCTTCCATGCTATTGTTAATATTACTTATATGTAAATATTATATGTTTTAATTGGTGTGTTACATGCAGTTGTAAAAATAACTTATTTTAAGAAGTTTATAAATGTTGTTTTGAAACATGAAGACCTGGATTACTTTTTTATTGCTTAAATGATGGATTCAGAAGAAAAGCCAATCTTGACTTCATATCTGACTCTCTGTGCACCCCCGTATAAATACAAAATATGTAAAACTATCTATTAATTGAACAAGAAGAAGAAAAAATTCAATGCTTTAATTTGTGTTTTTCACTTTCAATTACAGGCTATTGCTGAAACTCAGATGTTGCGTGTAACATCTATGAGCACCTCTATCCTTATGGTCTACGTCGATTCGGCCAAGAATTTGCCAGTATGATTTCACCAGAATTTGTTTTTAAAATTCAAATTTTAGTATTCTAAATGTATTAACGTATTTAGAAAGTGTTGCGGAAAGGAGTTTACACAGCCCCGGACCCGATGTTCCAGATCAGTCTTGCCAAGACGGTCAAAACTTCGGTTATTCAATACAGGACGGATAATCCTGTGTATGAGCAAGGTTTTACCTTCCTTGTACATGATCCAGAAACGGACACGCTTCATGTCAAGGTCTGTTGTTAATTGAAAAGTATAGTTCGAGCCGAATCGATATTTATCTATTTACAGTTTACGGATCAAAAAACATCCACAGAGCTTGGAAAACTGACTTACAATCTAAGTACTTTACTCGACAAGGAAAATCTGGAGTTGCAAGATCAGCCGCTTCAGATTAAAAATGCAGGGCCCGATTCAAAACTGATTGTATCTATGCGATTAAGGGTAATTTAAAAGAAATTTTTTTTATCAAAGTGGATAAAAATTAATTTATTAAATATTGTTAATAGATTTTGAAATATCTTGGTGGATCCACGAATGATGATGATTTGTCACTATTTAGTCATGAAGTGATGACATCTTCACCGACCCTGTCCAGGACTGAAAGCATTAAAAAAGAAGAACCAGTTCCTACTACCACATCAGGTAATACAGCTGATAATAAATAATTATAAATTGTTATTATTTTTTCTGGCATTGTAGAGGAAGGTAGTCCTGAACCGAAACCATCAGAGCCTCCAGAGCCAGTTGAAGATGTTATGGTTATAGGAGAACCTCCACCAAGGGTGGAGTCGTCACCCCCATTATTACATCGCAGGCAGATGAGCACAACTTCAAATCTGTGAGTACACCAATTAAAAAAATAATAATCAATAAAAATAATTTTTTTTTAAAGCTCATCTGGTGAAGCATCTCTTGGAAAAATTCAATTAACACTGAGGCATAGTATCCAGAGGCAAAGATTAATTGTCATTGTGCACAAGATTGCGTAAGTGGTTTTAAAATTGCACAATTTAAACATTGTTAACTTTTTCTTTGAACTTTTAGAAACCTGCCTTTGAAAGATCCCAGCAACATTCCAGACCCTTATGTGAAGTTATACCTGCTCCCTGAGAGATCAAAGGAATCAAAAAGGAAAACTGAAGTAAGTTAGCTCTCAGTGTTAACGATAGTTGTATTTCATTTTTTCAAATTTCAGACTGTCAGAGATAACTGCAACCCTACGTACGATGAGACATTCGATTATGTCATGTCACAAGGAGAGTTGAGCAGCAGGCAACTCGAAATTACGGTGCTGACGCAAAAGACATGGAAGAGTCCAGTAATGGGACAGGTAATACTTTTATTTTCAACTTTCGATTTAAATCTCGTTTTAAATATTTATTTCAATTTTTAGGTCATTATTAATCTTGCTGATTTAGATCTTTCAAAAGCAGTTACTGCTTGGTTTGATTTACAGCCAGAAGCAACAAAGGAAAAGGACGCTTGAAAGCACAATTCAAAGCATCCTGACTGAAGCTTACTATCAATCGCTTTTTTATTCACCGTCCTTATTTTATTTGCATTTAAAACTATTTTTGATCTATGTATATCTACATATGCAATAGATATTAGTGAAACTAATAAACACTTACTATTTAATGTGTGTTTTTATTAACCATTGTTGATTTGAGGAAAAATCATGGTGTACGTACTTGTGTGACTAAGTAGACTAAAGATTTACCACTGTAGTTAAGAACAATTTTAATTTGGTGGCATTCCCATTTACTCTCAATATGGGATTCCAGAACATGACAGTCTTAAAATTTGGTACAATCAGAAACCTTTCTTTACGTAAAGAGTGAACCCAAAGCATAAGCAATTTTTTGTCAACTATATAATATGCCATTTATTATGTTCTTGCTTCTTTGTTGATCTGGTCAAAAAGTTGCTTATTCAATCCCTTTTTGATATTCAAGATATTCATTTTCAGTATTAATAAGGATAACTAAAAGCATAATTTAAGTTTGTTATAATTTAAAATTTATAAATTATGCAGTAGTGATGAGATCAAACGATGTGTAAATTCTCAAAAGATTCAGTTCCATTGGACGTGTTTCTATCTGTCTCACTGAAAGGAGGAGGGGACATTGCGTTCCTCGATACACAATCTGTTTTCAGCTAGGATCAGCTCTATTCATAGCAATGTTTCAGCACAAAGAGCAGTGATGATGAATTAAATGCCAAAAAAAATATGAAGTTTATTTGTTTTTTTAATGAATTTATACTTGTTTCTAATGGAAACGTTCCTGCTTAGCCCATTGGGGCAAAAATTAAGCCCATAAACATCATAGTTTAAGAGATAAATGAAAAAATAATAATTTTTTCAACGAAGTTTGCACTTGTTCATATTGGAAATGATCCTGCTCAATCGATTGGTGCAAAAATTAAGCTAGTTTACTAGATGAACAAGAAAATGGAATTACAAATTCGAAATGTTTTTGTCAACGATTTTGCTATATGTTCTTAATGGAAATGAGCCTGCTTAGTTGCATTTTTGGATTTTTGTTTATGTTTTTCTTGTAAACTATGTGATCTATGAGCTTAATTCTTACAACAGTCAATAGGTTAATTTCCATTGCGTTTATTACTTGCAGTTACGAGCTTAATTTTTGCACCAATCGATTGATCAGGGTCATTTCCAATAGGAACAAGTGCAAAATTCAAGTTTTTTTTTTTTTTTACGAGGATTCGCAACAGCAGAGGTTATTTAAAAAAAAAGCCCATTTGTAAGTATGTCGGGTTCGAATGCAGGGCCGCTGGATTCGAACCCGTGACCTTTACCTTAGTGATGAGCGCCGTGTCAACGCCTAAACCGTTGCAGCCACCGACGCCCCTAAATTATGAGGCTTACGAGCTTGATTCTTTCACCAATCAATTGAGCAGGTCGTTTCCAATAAGAACAAGTGTAAATTCGTTGAAAAAATTGATTTTTTTTGCGTTTATCTTTTAAATTATGAGGTTTACGAGCTTAATTCTTTTGCCAATCAATTTGGAAAGGTCGTTTCCAATAAGAACAAGTGTAAATTCGTTGAAAAAATTTGATTTTTTTTCCGTTTATCTCTTAAACTATGACGTTTATGAGCTTAATTTTTGCACCAATCGATTGAACATGGTCGTTTCCAATAAAAACAAGTCACTACTACAGCGTTTATAAATTTTAAATTATAACGAACAAATTAAATTATGCGTTTATTATTTATTTGCTGTTAGTTTTATAATTATTACTGTAGATTAATATTTAATAATAAAACGGGGATTGATAAGAATCAACTTTTTGACCAGATCAGCAAAAAAGCTTTTCGATTATCAAGTACATGAAAAACTGAACTGATCTAGAAAAAAATAAATACTTTTTCTTTGCAGTAATCACAGAAACTGAATAGATTCGCACGTATGAAGGAGACATTCGTTGCAGTCATTTTTTGTCTTTTGAATAGGGCAAACTTAGCTGAACCTTAAAGAAACAATAGTATTTGTCAGTTATTCTGTAAAACTAAAAGATGAATACAAGCAATCTAGGTGAATAAACAGTGCTCCTATAAACCTAACTAGTGCTCCTAAAAGAAAAAGAAAACAACCTTTGTCAATCATTTGAAAGAAAAAACGTAATATAAGCAAATGTAGACCGATAAACACCGTAAAAAGGTAATAAACTAACGAAGCATAAGCATGGGAGTCATCAACTAACATTATTTACATCGAGCTGAGAGACGAAAGTCATTATGGGGTCGCTACTCGCATAAAAAAGAAGACAAAATCCAAGACTGTAAAAAAGTCTCAAAGCGAACTTATGACTTATCCCTCAAGAACTCTAAGCACCGTTGACTACTGAAGGATCATTTCTTCACGGCCGCAACAGAACTACCGACTTAATTTACAGAGTACTCGTTTTGTTATTTTTCTTCTCAAAAATATGCAACAAAACAGACCCCCCCAATGACCTCCTAGGGTTGAAATAAATTGACGTAGAAAAGTGTTGAACAAATCTATGAAAACATGTTGTAATCACATGTCTCATAATAAACTAGTATAGAAAAAATTCATAGGATATCTTCATTTTTGTAATTTATTGTCCGCAATAATGGCCACCGTGAGTTCAGGATGCCCCGAATGCGAAGTCTTTGAATGCATACCGAAAAAGGTGTCTTTCAAGTTTAAAATAAACGGAATTAAGGATATAACACAAGCGATAAATATTATTAACAAATCCGACGAGCCTTACGACATTAGAATCTACAATCCGCTAACTCCGTACTTCCACCTGAGCTCGTTTATACTAGAGGTAGGTGAAGGCGAAATGATTTTTCAGAATTAACTGGTAAAATTGTGAAATTTTGGGATGAAATGTTGATAGTTTTGTGAAAAATCGATCTATTCTCGCTCTTACAATCAGGTACTTTTAGGCTTAAATTTAAAGGTTGTTTACTTAGTTAACTTCAAATCCGGATTTATTTTATTTATTATTAATTAAACTTTATGTCTGAAGTAAAAATACAAGTTTAGACTAAAATTATATGCTTTCAACGATTAGGATTCTACTAGTACAATATGTATTTATTCTTTAATACATATACAAAGTTTACAGAAATATATATTACAAAACAAAGACTTTTACGTTACTAATCTCATTTCCTCCTGTCTGACAAAACTCAGAAATTTAAAGCTTCAAATTCTATCTCCTCTTCTCTCTCAATTTCAGCTGGTGTATACCAAGGCTCTATTCTTGCACCTTTGCTCTTTTCCATGTTTCTAAACGATCTTCCGTTAGGTTTCAATTTCTCCCAATTTCATCTTTATGCTGATGACACTCGGCTTTACATAAAACGTCCTACAAGCAACTTCTCTGAAGCTATCTCTACTCAATCTTCATTCTCTCAACGGTGAAGTAATAACAGCATTCTTTTAAACCCTAACAAATCCCAATCCTTATTAATTTCCAATAAACACATTAGAACAGGATAAGGATTTATAAACATTGTTTAAATTATACAACAATGTTTGTAAATCCCAGGCCTTGAAGATGATCTCAATAAAGATCGAAACGTTGGCACGATAAAGAAAATGTTTTTCTGACATCTACGTCACACCAGACTGCATCTCACAATTTCCGAATAATCATTGACTGACGGTTACTAATCACCACACACTTCTATCTTAGGTTAGCCATATATCCCTTCTGAGTGCTATAAACATTCACTCGTAAACTAATCTATCCTATTGCCATCCAAAGCTTTAGTTTAGCCTTTTAAAATTCTTAATTTGGAAGGCCAAGTGTTTGCAAAAATGCCATTTTAAATTATAAAATTTATTCCTGTTCTTTAATTAGAATTTCAAATTTTTGTTCTGTAATTTAAACATTTCCCATAGTTTTGTATGGCCAATAATAATAATAATAATAATAATGGAGTCAGACTAGCAATAGAGTCAGCATGAGTGTAGGCTCATCGATATCCTTTTATTCTTCTATTCAAATATGATAAATAAACCAATGCTACTTTTTTTTTTTATTGCATTATTTTGGGCGTTGTAGTTTATTACCCTGCAATTTGTATTTTTTTCTATTTCATTCATTATAAAGCCCTATTTGTTCCTTTAAAGTAAATAAATAAACGAGAAAGTCGTTCCTCATAAAGAAATATTCTTAATAATGAGTCCCCAGAATTGTTATTAATAAAATTGTCCATCTTTATAAAGCTTTTGTACAACCCATACTAGAATATGCTACACCTGTTTGGAACCCATTCTATCTAAATTATCAAAAAATTCTTCAATCTGTACAAAACAAATTTTTAAAAAAACTTTCCTACAAACTCAATCTTCCTCCGAATTCTGCCTACCCTGGAATCCGCTCTGAATTTAAACTTTTTGAATTGGCACTAAGAAGGGATTACTTTGAATATTGTTTTTGTCTTTAAATTATTAAACAATCTCATTGATAGTCCTTCTCTCTTCTCTCAACTACAGCTACATGTCCCTTTGCACTCTTTTAAAACCTATAAATTATTTTATATTGAATTCCAAAGCTCTAACTACATGCTCTCTTCTCCTCTTACACAGAATGATGATCAAGAGTAACTTGTGCAATAGCATTGACTTCTTCAATAGTTCTGTGCAATCTGTGAAAAACCTTATCCTACAACTTTTTTTTTTCTCAATTTATATAAATTTATTTATATATACACAAACAGATCAAAGATCCCTTTACAAAGAATATAATTCAAGAGGTATAAGCAATTTAATAGTAGCATAACTTTATAAAATAACGGAACAAAACAATAATAATAATGAACAATAAACTATACTTATATATTTTATATAATAATACGTATTTTATATAATAGAATAATTATATTTTATATATATATTTTTTTTACGAGGGTTCACAACAGCAGAGGTCATATAAACCCTCAGAGTGCCGGTGTTTTTGAAAAAAAGCCCATTTGTAAGTATGTCGAGTTCGAATGCAGGGCTGCTGGATTCGAACCCGGGACCTTTACCTTACAGGGATGAGCGCCGTGTGAAAGACTAAACCTTGCGGCCACCGACGCCCCCCTACAACCTTAGTTGAATGCTTTTATATTTCATACTGTACAAAATTATTACAATTTATTTCATTTACTGGTTCAAATAATTCTCGCACTCTAGTCTTATTATATATTTACAAAGAGCATTATTTTCATTAAATATGTAACTAATTATTGTAGTTTCAATTGTCTTTCAGCTTTATTTTGTTTCCTCTGCCTTATTTGGTTAGTAATTATGTCTTTCATTTTTGCTGTTCAGTTTTTACTCTTTAACTGTATTTTTATATTTATCATTTATATTTACCATTATATTATTACCATGTATATACATCCTTATTCTTTTTATATATATTATTTGTATTTTTACATATATCATTTATATTTTTTGTTATTGTAAAATGTCTTTTTTTATAGTGGATTTCGATCCGTAAATAAATAAATACCTAAATTTTCACATCTCATCTGTCCTTACTTCCAGTAAAACTGTATTTGTCCACATCTAACATTAAGCCCTCTTGAATAACAGGATTTACCTTAGTTAATTCCTTGACAGTAAATTGATAAAATTGCCGCCCTTACTCATAAATAAGACTGTCATTCTTTCTTTGTCCCCCTTAAGTAATTTTTTTTTAAACTCTACTTTAATCAGAATTTATGAGCAATTAAACTTTTTTTTCTGTAAAATGCAGAATTAATTTATTAGGCGCTATTTTCAAGGGGACTGTAAAGCCAAAAGGATCGGTTAGAGCTTACGTGAGCTTTCTAAGGGAACGAAAAGCGAGAATGTATTATGACTACATAACTGTCGAATGTTCAAGAGGCTGTGCTTTTGAAATACAGATTGAAGCAAGTCCTATAATAAAAGAGTTTGCCAATTTGCCAAAAGAAATCAAATTCGGTCACATCCCTATTGGTCAAACGTAAGGATCTTTAAATAAACTCAATCACAGAAAATTTGAAACAGTTAATATTTCAAAGGAGGAAAAAGAAAATCATACTCGAACCGAGAAAAGACGAGATGCCGTTTCTTTTCGTGACGCTGAAATTTTGCCCATCACTCTCGATCACACCATCAAGAGGTTTTGCTTATTATTTATACATAGTAATTACTTTATGCCCAGTATGGATAACATAGTTTATTGCTACAGGTACGGTTGGAACTGAGGCCGTAGAAGTTGAAATAAAATATTGCCCATTGGAGTACATTACTTTAATGCTGCCAGTCAACATTTATCTTCCTACAGTTATAGCGCTCCCATTTACTATGATGATTAGTGCACATACAAAACCTGGATATTACAGGTATGATGGTGTGATGACTTTGAGAACACTAGTGAGTTTAAAACTGAAACACTTAATTAATTCAACCTGTTTTAAAATAACAAGAATTAAATAATGTTAGGTAGCTTGTTGAACATTAACAATAATTTTTTTAAAATTTATTTGTAAAATTTTCGAGACCACAACTATCATCCTCAGGGAAATGTTGTTTTTTTAATATGGTGACACATCACACATCAGTTTCAAATGGATAAAGGAATAACGATTATAAACTTAAACATACATAACCATATAAAACAATTACAGTAAAGAATAAATTTAATAGGAACCAACTTCTTGAAATTTTGGAAAATGTTGATGAATACAAAGAGGAAAAACCAACATACAAGGTGCCCAGTTTTGCAAAACCTGCACCTATGGTAGCATCGAAAGAACTTAAAAAAGTCGAACCATCCGCATGGACGCAGCACGATGCCAATAGATTCCTTATAAAGGAAAAATCACAGCATTGTGAATACGAATTAAGAGGTAAAAACAGACTTATAAAGTCAACATTATTTCACATTTCATAAATTCAAAACTAGGCCGCAAGAGTTTAAAGTTCAATTCACCTAGGACCTTTCGGAAGGTTTCTGGAAGAGGACTACAGAATCCAAAAGAAAAAAGAAAACGGTTTCTTTGATTTAGTCCACAAGATCAAGCGTGAAAATGAAATCGCCTATTCGCATGAAAAGTGTAAAATACGCTGGATTGGTGCCGATTGGTATGAAAGAGAAAGGCTGCGCCAAACATACTTGGTAAGAACCATAAAACAGAAAAATTTGAACAATGTTTAAAATAATAATAAAAATTTCAGAATGAAAAGAACATGGTCAATGATAATTTGAGTTATGGTCCTCAGCTAATCAGGCAACGATTAATCAGGCACATAAATGAAGTAAGTTTTTTTCTAATTTATTTGGCATTTAGCTAGTTGATATATATATTTTTTTAGACAAGTAAGTATGAGTTCTCAGGACCAGACCGGAAGCCAAACGAATGGTTTGTGAGATATGTGATTATGATTAAATTCATAAATGCAGCTAGAAAAATTGTGGTTAAGCTGAGATTGGAAAAAATTCTTAAGAAGTTAAAGGTAGGTATTCAAAATTGTTACATTTTAATTCCACCTATCTGTATTTTTGTACGTTTATATTTCAGCATTTGACAAAAGAAGATATAGAAAAGCTTGAAAAAGTATGAGAAAGTGTTCAGGAATATTTTATTTATTGTGAAAATTACTGTTTACAATTTTTACTAACTTAATTTTTGAGTACCGCAGAACACCCATTGAGAGAAGTGTACTGAACTACTTAGCATCTAATTTCCAACAATTATCGTTCCTTCTGGGCTGCTGCATTGTGTTGGTGAAAATGCTTTCCACGCTTCCTCAAATATGTGATATGGTTGATCTACACGTATTGTATCAGAACTTTTAGGAAGAGCATATGTGTAACCTAGGGAGAAAAAAATTAATAAAGTACGTATAGCTATATCAATAGAATGTGTTCTTTTAAAAATTACCAGGGAACCATTTTGGAGGTACTGAGCCTCTTAGTTGCACTAGATTTCCCCTTACAGGAGGTATGGTTTCCAAACAGACATCAAATTTATCACCCTCCGTTTGACTGCTGCCAAGAATCTCAGAAGGCTTGTTTCCAATGTTCATAGCTGTAAATTATGACTACACTCAATAAATCACTATATACATAACTGATTTTAAGATCTTAACTATTTTTATTATATTTTAATGTTTTATTTTACATGACAATCAAATTAATTTATACATGATGCCAATTAACTCATTAAATAAGTATTTTATTTATATGTAATGTAGTAAAATATGACAAATATTATACATACGATGAGGCTCAGGAATGTCAAAATCAGAAGGGCTTTCAAATTCCAAATAAGAAGCGTCTTCATATTCTAACATGCCCTCTTTATGTGACAAAGATGACACTGGTATTATTGCGCTCTTAAAAAAAAACCTCATTAATTTATTTGAAAATTCTTTGAAGTTTAACCAATACCTTCTTATTCTTCGCGGTATGAAGTACTTTAACTGTTGGACTGGACTTATCTTCAGGAAATAACTTCTGATATGTTACTTCTGGTAGTGACTTAAACTCTTTTTCTTCTGAGGTAATAAATGCAGCTACAGTTTCTGGCAGGACATCTTCTACCACCTAAAAAACACAAAATGCTTTTTTTTTTTTTTTACAATGGATGCCAGGGACTGGAGGAGTTCTCTCCTGAGCACTGCAGCTGAGCTGCACAGCTTATTGTACTTTATCCCTTGGCTCCATATTTTGAGGGAGGGCTCGCATCACAAATGTGAACTTGAGCCCCCGTTGTACCGGTGTTCTTCCATCGAAGAAACTCATTTTTGAAGGGGATTGGTACCAAATTCAGGGTTGCTGCGATCCGATCCCGCCCCTTCCATTGATGAGTGCCATGCCAATTTCTTTCAATTGCGTCCACGGTCCCTTAGGCGTCAGAAAAAGTCCAGAGGCGACGGTGGGATCGAACCCACGACCGCAGGATCTACTATCTGAGAGTCTGACGCCTTAACCACTTGGCTACCGCGGCCCCCAAAAATGCTAGTTTATATTGAATATTTTTTGTGTGTAAAACATACTTTTCCGGTCTTTAAGTTCTGCTCCCTTGCATTCATCGTTTGGCTCATCCTTCGCGTGCGTTCTAAACTCTTCCTTTCACCTTCTAGGACTCGATTGGTAAGCACTTTGTTTGCTATGTTAGAATACATTTCAATGTCTGCAAGGAGCATGTCATCTGTCTCGGCATCAATTTGATTCTAAAACAACCATATTTGATATATATGCCACTTCCATTACACTGGGTACACAAGTATGACTATTACATCAAATAAAAAACTGGATACATAATTCAAATGGATTGAAAATCAACACAAAATTGACCCCTATCTCTAAATATTGGGAGTCTTGGGCCAGTTCAGAAAGAAATTTGGTTGAATATTGATCCCTCCTTGGCACAGGAAGCTCATATAAATGAAAATGAATTTTGTAAGAAGAATAGGACAATACAGTGTTAATAATTATAAACCCAAAAGAATTAAGTACATATTAAATACTTAAAATTAAGTGTAACTTAGGGGTGGGTTTTTGTACTCCAGTTTTTTCAACATTTAAGTTGTAAAACATTATATATTCTTTATTTATTTAATTGAGAGGTAAAGTATCAGTTCTGGTACTCTTGTTTCAAACTTGTAAATATGTATATACAGGTATATGGTCAGTAAATAAATCATTTTGAATATAATCATAGGAAAATTAAACAGGGTGGTTTTTTTTAGTGTGGATACTGCTGAATTCTACGAGCCGACAAGTTCATAAAACTGTACACCAGTAATTTTGCATCACTGTTCTTCTATAGTCTGGTTTTTGGGGAAATAGAACTGCCACTATTAAGTTCTTTAGAACAACAAAAAAATGTTTGCGTTATGAGCGGTGTGGGAATAAGGCGCTCTTGCTTTTTGTAAATCACAATATAATGACTCTAACCTGCTTATACAATTATAGAAATGCCATTTTCATTTGAAAAAAAAAATCAATCCTTTACCCTACTAATTTGAAAATTCATTCTTATTATACTTTTTCCAAAACGATTTTATAACAGGTCATAATAATAGTCGAAGGTCTAATTGTGCGGTGTTTACCACACAGGAACTTACATTTTCAAGATCTCCTTGCTAGTATCAAAATGATTAAATAGTTTGTCCTGTTTTAAAAGGGATACATTTACAGGGAAAATCATGAATATTTTAGTTCTTCAAGGCCATGATTCCTTATTGTGGTAATTTTGTAATTATTTTTAAGTCTAATTGTATTAATTTATTCATAATTCGACCTACATACAATGTATAATCCGACATTAGTTTTCTATTCATTAGTGATGATTTCAAACCGTTTACGATCAAATTATATTTTAAAACAACCTCAATGCTCTTCATATTTGATCTGATATTTGATGATTTGAACGATATCTCTTTTGATATTTCTAAATGCAGCCTCATTATTGCTAGAACTACTGGTTAATATAATGAATTTTGTAGTATAGTTGATGTTATTAAAGTTTTGGGTATTTCTTTCTATATTGACAAACTGCTTTAAAGCTTTGAAAGCACTTGAATTTTTAATTTATCATACAAAATCTTTTAGAAGTACTGGAAATACTGGAACTCCTCTTTATCTCTCTTGTTCACACAACATGAATTGCGTTCTATTTTTTATTTTCCTCATTACTTTTCTCAAGTACATAGTTCAGCAACGCTTTCTCATTTACCGTACTGTAACTGGCCCTTGAACCGTAATTTTCATTATGATTATGACCCTATGATGTCTGCTGAATCCTGAAAAGGATACCCTGGAGACAAGTAGGATAAAGTTTGACTGCATTTTTTTTTTTTTTTAGACAAGTTTATAAACAATTTTATCTCCTGCCCTGAACTGCTTTCCTCCATAAAATTCAATATTCCAAAATAAAATACTCATCATTATTTAACATGCCTTATTGCTCCACTAATTACTAGTTTCACTCTTCTATCAATAGAATTCAATGAGTAGCAATACATGAAACATTGATATATTTCATGTGTGTTTATTTATGTTAAAAATATTATAAAATCAATATATATTTTTTAAATTGCTCTTTCTTCTTTTTAGTAAATTTATTTTTATTTTATATAAATATTTTACTTTACTTTTTATTTATGTGTGCAGTGTTTTGTTAAAAAAATTACTATTTATATATATTTATAGAATTTATTTATATTTTGTTTTATTATTTCAAAGGTAATCTTTCTCTTCCCCTCTCCCTTCTTACTTTCAAAAGAAAATATCTACAACATCTGATGGAAATAACCAACCAACAAATAACTAAAACCATAATAAAATCATGGAATCATAAATTAATTAATATTATGTTTTTATGTGTTTTAACATTCTCTAAATAACTATAATAATAACGAAAATTAAAAAAGTAATTGGTTAATTAATTTAGTCATGTCTAACTATCAAAAATTCTTGTTAAAGTTTTTATTGTTTCTTTTTTTTTTCTTTTGGTTGTTATTCATTGATTTCTTACATAGATAAATACATATTCTCTTATAAATTTTTAAACCAAAAATTGTATTGTGAAAGTATGTGAATATTGTGTTAGTAAAAAATGAGTACAAATTTGTTTGTTTTTGTATTCTATTTGCAAAATAAATAGTAAAGACCAAAAGAGTCTACATAAATTGTATGTATAATGTAAAATGTACAACTCACGTTAAGTGGAAGAAAGGGCCACAAAATCTAATTTGGCATGGTTAAATAAAATGTTTAATCAATCAATCAATCTCTGACCAATAAATAAAAATATAAATAAGCATTTTTTTTCTTGCATTGGCTTTAGGCCCCAACCATGTCTCTACAGGCATACACACTAAGCAAATCTTGGCCAACAAAAGACACCAACAATTCCATTGGCTGTGATTTGCTTAGTGTGTACAGGAGGTGAATCAGAGCCAATGAAGCGGTTGGCCTTGGTCGAGGTTTGGTCTTCGGTAACATCAAAAAAGACGATGTCATTGCGATTCCACATGACCTAATTCCTCGATCCCAACCCCCTCGGCTTGATGAGGTTGAACTAAGGATGGTCAATGTGTTGGGGACCAACATTCAGCCTTATTTGGTTGTCTTTTGTCAGCTGAGATTTACATAGTGGGTACACGCCTTAAGACAATAACCTGGAGTGTTGATTTAACTTGATACGATTTAAGTTGATTTCTTATCTTCTTTAAGCTTTAAAGATACTAAATGTAATATTTTCTTTTCAGGGCTAGCATGTTCTTTTGGGTGTTATAATAGGATGTTTTCTAGTATTACTTTTTTATGGGTTGTAAATCATTTTGTGAAAACTGACAACTCCAAAAATGTTAACTCAATAATGGCTGACATTTGCAGACGTTTTTTTGTTACAAATGTGCAATCACCTCATGATGCATATCCACGGTATTTAGAAATGCCTGCATTATCACTTAACGTATTTAAAAAAATTCAAATGAAAACCTAAGCTTTTATTACATAATTAACTTTTAATTTCAACAATTCTTATTTGCAAAGGTACTTTTGTACTTACAAATAGAGAATCCTTTTTGTCAGTGACACCTCTCTATAATTTTCAAAGAAATATTATAAAATTGAAAATTAACTGGATCAATTTACAATATAAAAAATTATAAGTTACCACGCATTTCTTTAATGGGAAAATGACCTGTGGAGAAAGAAAACTGTTAAAAAATGATCTGATAGGAATAATTCAAGATTGCCTTACGTCAAATATTGGAACTGATTTATCCTTGAAAAGTTTAAAATAAATATGATAAATATTTAATTAATTGATATGTATGTCATGCAAGATTAATTAAACAAAAAATTACCACTGCATTTGAGTCTAATCCTCTGTCAGATGGAATCTGTAACACAAGTATTTATTTATAAATTTTTTAACAGAGGTATGCAATAACAGAGATCATTTCAACCCCCTGTGGGGTGCTGGTGTTTTTGGAAAAAGGTTTTAAGTTGGCCAAGTATGTCCAGGGTCACTGGATTCAGGACCTCAAGACCTTTACCTTAGTGATGAGCACCATGTCAGAGCCTTCACTGTTGTGGCCACTGAAGCCCCAGACAAAATGAATTTAAATTTTTTAAATTAATCAAATAAGAAATTTTACGATAATTTATTTTTTGGCCATTCATAAACATTATTTTGATCACTAAAAAATATAATTTAAAAGAAAGAATAAAAAAAAACTTGCAAATTTATAATTCTAATCTCAATTCTGTCATTTTATTATTATTGTATAAAAAATAAGCAACTACTTACTACAAATGTTTTGTTTTGGTTTATGAGTTCCTGAAAAATGAGAAAAAATTGTTTTGCCCTTATTATATTTTTAAGACTTGTTATATTACTAAAAGTTTAATCTTTTATTACAGTACAGAAAAGGACTTTTATTAATTACAAATTGCATTAAAGTTTTTCTCCATATGTAATTTATAGAAAATAATATAAATAAAACATCTAAATATAGTACAATAAAAAACTACACCTTTAGTAGTATTGTGTAAATTCATTTTAAAATTTGATAGTTCAATAACAAACCTTTATTTCCTGACTTGTCCTTGAATTCTGAACCTATAAAGCAATGAAATTGATCTTTAAAATAAATTTAATTCAACTTTTTACAATTTGCACATTTAAGAAAAGTATATATTGAGGGAAGAAAATGACCTTCCAGGTTTTGAAAATTGACATAGGGCATTTATTAATGAGTTACAAAAAACTTACAATAGATTTTTGGTTCTTGGCCTTGTTTAAACACTGAAAATAACAATGCAAATGAAAGTAATTAAATTGAAGATGAATGAAAAAAAAGCAACACCTTTCTTAACAAGCTGTTGAGGAGCAATCAGGATAAATATATTTCAGAAAAACGCCTGAATTTTATTGCTGATGTATCGATCTTTAGTCGTATCATCTTCAAGGCGTGGGTAAATTACAAACATAGGTTGAAAAGGAAAATTATATAAAAAAGTAAATGATTATTTAAATTAATTGTACTTTTTATCTAAGGTCTTGGTTGAGATGAAAAAGCTAGTGGCATGAGCAGGATTCGAACCCATGACCTTCAGTTCAATACGCCACTGCTCTAATTTCTTGAGCTGTCCTGGCTAAATGGTTAGAGCAGTGGTGTATATCATCTCAATCAAAACCTTAAATAAAAAGTGTAAATAATTTAAATAAAATGGTCAATTATGTCTACTAAATGCATATATGGATTAATAATTATTTACTTTTTGTGTATAATTTTTAAACAATTTTCCCAATCAATATACGTTTGTAATTTACTCAAGCCTTGAAGATAAACTGAATAAAGGTCGAAACGTCGGCAATGAAATGAAAAAGGTGTTTTTCTGAAATACATCTATCCTAACTGCTCCTCACTATTGAACCATAGGACGCTAAACAACGCACCTTTCTTAACTTTTCACATCTTCTCTCCAAACGTTGCTGCCGAAGGGTAAATTTGTAATTAAAATGACAGTTAAATCACAATATTTAGTCAGATATACTTACAGATACTGAAAAAAGAAGGAAAATGCCATTGAAATTCAGTAAATTTTCACATACAGTTATATATGAATTTGCTAAAAAATTGCTTTCTTTGTCTGACATATTTCTTAAAATAATTATTAATAATGTTTATAACTGAATTTGTTCAAATCAAGATTTCTGTTTGTAATTTATAAGAATAAATAAATAAGAATACATATAAGAATAAATAAATAAAACAATTATCAGACTATGGACCACTGGAAGTTGACAAAGTTGGGCTGAAAAAAACTTAGTAAATATATTTTTAAAAATAAATTTTCATTAAATATTATTAGCTTTTTTTCTAAAAAGATATTGAATATTTTAATAATTTTCTTTAAAATGGACCTTACCTTCATCATTAGATTGTTGCGTTTTCATAGTAGTTGTAGCTGAAAAGTATAATATTAATATTTATTCACATTTTACTGAAGTAAGCTGCAAAATTTTATTTATCAAAAACTTACATGATGATTCTTGGAGAAGACGAGGTATTCTTTGTCCTGGAAATATTGAAACCTTTTTAAGTACTCATTTTGAAAATGCTCATAGAAATTTTTAATGTCATTATAGATAAATTAATAAATCGTATTCCTTATAGTACGATCGTTAATAAAAAGTGTTTCTATTTGAAGCTGCGATTTGCTTACAATTGGAATGAAACGGGGAGTTGAAATGAGAAGTTTGTGGCATGGGTGATCGAAGTCACGATAGCTCAAGTGGTAGAGCAGCGGGGTATTTAGCCAAAGTTGTAGGTTCGAATCCCGCCTGTGACACAAATTTTTTCATTTCAAAAAAATTGTGTATAATTAATTGAGTATTTATATAATTAAGCATAAGCTGATAAAATAACTAAAAAATTATTTATTTTTTTTTTTTTACGAGGGTTCGCAACAGCAGAGGTTATATCAACCCTCAGGGTGCTGGTGTTTTTGAAAAAACGCCCATTTGTAAGTATGTCGGGTTAGAATGCAGGGCCGCTGGATTCGAACCCGGGACCTTTACCTTACAGTGATGAACGCCGTGTCAACACCTAAACTGTTGCGACCACCGACGCTCCCTAGTTAGTGTTATTCCTTTTATAAATATAATATTGTTGTTCTTAGTTTTAGTAGCTGGAAAAATGTAGTTCATAGTTTTACACACTGGCTGAAGGTGGCTGTTTGTTTTGGGCCCCTACGCCCGAGTTGGATGTATTGGTCACGTTCCTGCTGGATGGTCTAATCTGACCGTGTTATTTAAGTAAGCCATGTGAGGAAGGTTGAGATGGTAAAAAGTTAAGCATGTTTAGATATTGATGCAGCTACATGATTGTCGATGGCCATGGCTTTGACCTTGCTTGTCATAGGTGTGATGCCCCTGTGCTGTACTGTGCTAGCCAAGAAAGTCTATCTCAGGCTGGCACAGGCACACTTTGCCGGATTCATGCTGACACCATGAGTGGACAAATGATGAAGCACTTGAAGATGTTCCTCGTGAAACTTTGAGCCTGATGTTATCACTATGTTATTCAAGCAGATGAAAACAGAGTAGATCCCTGGAGATAAGAGTCCATAATGCGATGGAATGTATGTGGCATCACATAGCATAGAAAAGCATAGTGGCATCTATCTTGGGGGATGTCGGCCTATGTTACTGGGTTCCAAGGTTCGTGACCAGGTAGTGAACTTGTTGGTTCCAGAAACACTCTTATTAAAACTAAATTTGGCACCCTCTAGGGGTCGGGCATGGGGCAATTGTTGAGTATTTAAATACCTTTCAATAATTAGAAGGTATCAGAAGTATTAAGATAAATAATGTCATGATCCCAAAAATTCACAAGAAAAGTAGTCTAAACATATATGGGTTTGATACAATTTTGTAATTTTATCTCGACACATTCAGTATGTACCTTGTTAGTGCTAGATCAGGATTTGGACAAACCATTTGAGCTTCTTTGCTTAACAAAGCTACATCAGTAGCATTTCTACCTGGATATTTCTGGAATGGACGTACAACTGCTGCCGTTTAAAATTGGTGCGTTTTATAGCATGATTGCTGCCAGGGTGCTGATACTCTCAACAGCTTTACTTGGCAGGAGAAGGTAAGGAGATCATGTCATGTGTACAAGCCCAATCAAACTCATTAGGGAGGTGCACTTCGGTCTTTCAAGCAGAAATACATGCCATTAACGATTGTGCCCTATAAAATCTTAAAAGAGGTTTCACTGGCAAAAAATCCTCATAAAATCTGATAGCCAAGTAGCTATTTTAGCTACATTAGCATGTAAAAAAAATCACATCAAAATTAGTCATTGAATGTATCCAAAATCTGGGAAACACACAACAACCTGATGATATCTTGGGTGCCAGGGCACAGAGGAATTTTGGATAACGAAAAAGCAGACACTGGCCAGAGGGGGATCTGCAAGATCATAAATATGCCCTGAACTTATTCTTGGGATAACAAAAACAAATATAGAACCCTCCATCACAGAATGGATCCGAACAAAACAAAAGAAGAAGTTGATAAACTCTAGCGGCACTAGACTCAGTAAACTTATGATAAAACCAAGACTAGAAATTGGAGAGGTCTCAGAGGAGTGATAGGACTACTAACCGGCCACTGGCATCTGAGAAAACATCTACACAACATGGGCAAATAACTGCAGATTATGCAATGAGAAGGAGGAAACAGCCACCCATATCATCTTAGAATGCGAAGCAACGGCTCAATGGAGATTTAACCTAACATACAGAAAAACTCTATGGAATTGTAGCAGCAACAGTCAATGACCTGATACTTCTAAGAAGGATTGAATCTATTGCACTGAATTAGGAAAATAAGCCTGAAAATAATAAAGGCTGAAGTGCCTGGGGAGCAAAAATCCCGCTTCCTATATCCTTATCACTACCAAAAAGAAGATCATAAATGTAGAGAGGGAAATGGGATGATATCGTCTGATAGAGGAAGAATCTAAGGAAGTATAGCCTGTGGTAGGAAGAGTGTAACCACTTGAAGTCGGTGTATAGAACTGAAGAGAACACTGCGTTTTTCAGTGGAAATTGGAGCAGAACTGTCATTAATACCTTCCCAATGAAAGTCTAATTGTTGAATTAAATACTAAATTATGGATTGAAATATCTGGTTCCTACGTGGAGTAGCCCTCTTGGGCTAAAAGGTGTAGTGAGCTAGGCCTGGCAGCCTTGGATGGTGTACATATGCCTTGCTTGACCATTGGTTGAAACTCTTCTTTCACCGCAGAAAATGTTTTGACTTAGCTGACACTAGTCATATAATATAAAATATCTATGATGTGTTCCAAATTATGTTTGATAACATGATACAGTAAGGTGTAGAATTCAGCAGGGATTTCCAGAAAATTTGTTTAGGAAGTCTGGGCCAATATTGGGTTTTTGGGCCTGGCAAGGCTACACCTTCAAACTGTGTGATTCTAAAGATATACATCTATGTCTGGGGTATTTAAAATCCTTACCAATGGACATAGTACTAACAATAAATCTGGAACTACCCTTAGAGGCAATTTATTTAGGATAAATTCATTTTAAAAACTTTTTCAAATTAAGCTTACTCTGTCACAAACTTTGATATATAAATTTTCGTTAAAAACAAAATCTTGTGGACAGCTTTTGTAATGTTAACAAAGAGTGTATTTCTATATGATACTCAGATGTCCTGCACTCTTGCCCATGTATCAAATTGAGTACACCGCACTGACCGGAGAAGTTCATAGTTACTACTTCCAACTTTAAAAACATGAATGTGGGAACTTTTAATAGCAATTTACAACACATGCTTCATACACAATATTTTTACAGAAAGTTCAAAGATTGAAACAGGAATCACTTGTGCATTCTATGATCCAGTTAACAAGCATGAATGCCCAGAGAGGAGGGAGAGAGAGAGAGAGAGAGAGAGAGAGAGAGAGAGAGAGAGAGAGAGAGAGAGAGAGAGAAGATTAATTAGGAGACTGTTTGGAGAAGAGACTGTTGGATTTAACTTACGTCTTGATTCTGGTATATTGGCTGAGGCAGGCTGTGGCTCTGGTTGTGGTGACTTACTTGACTCCATCTAGACAAAAAAATTAATGTTTTTAAATTTGCAATTTGTTGAATTTTATTATATGTATAGGATTATCAATCTTATTAGTATGAAATTAAGTAAGAAAAATAATATTTCATGGGTAACATTACTCAACCTCCTGTTCATCATATGCTCAAAATACCAATATTTTTATTTTCAATCAACTATAATATATTTTTAACATAAAGGAAACTACAAAAACAAGACTGTTCAACAATTAGAGCTTTAAACATTTACATTAATAAAAAAAATGTTATGTTATTAAAACGTTTTATTTATGTGTATGTGTTGTATGTACAATATAATGATGTGTTTAAAAATCTTCCACTTTCACAATCGGATGTTTTCTATGTTCAATAGACTTCAATAGTTTTCATTCAATATTAGGTCCTGCCAAAATCGACTACCTAAAAAGTATGTAATTATTAGAATAATATAAATCCTGTGACTTATGAGATAATAAATTACCTCTTTATTTTTATTGTTCATAAAAAAATACATTCTAAAGTCACATTTAACCAAAATAATTTCATGTTATATGGTTTTTACGTAAAATCTTCTTTATTTTTTAAATCCATTATATTTAGTGGTCTGATTGATCAAATAACTTCTTTTAATTAATCAATCTTTATGTAAGGATGTTTGGTTGAAATGAAAAAATTAGTGTCATGAGCGGGATTCGAACCCACGACCTTCGGCTCAATACTACGCTGGTCTAACCACTTGAGCTATCGTGGTTTCGACCCTCTGGACACCAACTTCCCATCTCAACCTACAATTATTTTTTAATTTTAGTCGGTCGGAAAAAAACAATTGACTAAACTTTATTTTTTTAAATTCTAAATGTTTATGTTGCCTGTTTATTTAGCTAACTAAATCTACTTACATCTCAAAAGGGATGTCCTAGTATGGGATGGCCAAGTTGCCTGTTGATAATCTAAAAATATGCCAGAGAATTTACCCCACAACTTGACGTGAGATAAGAAAAAAATGTGCTATTTTATTTTTACCTCGGTAAGTCTTCATAGCATTTCTAAAAGACTGCATTTCTTCATATGTTTTGCACTCGTTATTGTACAAATTATGATACTAAAATATTATTGAAAAGTTTGAATTGAAAATGTTTTATTGTGAGTGTTCATTGCTTAAAATAATATTATACAGTCTAAATGTAATATTTTTTGTATTTACAACAGTATTTTACAACTTTTATCAATATTGAAAAGAATAAATATTTGTAAAGTCCAAGAATTAATTGTTTTACATTATCTTTGTATTTAATTTATAAACTGAGTCTGAAAAAAACTTTAAAAATATTCAAAGATTTTCATTTGCTTACTAGAAAAACATACTTATCTGAAATATTAAACAAAAATAGAACATACCACAGGAGAGCCTAAAAAGAAAAAACATATATAGTACAGACTAATATTACTAATATTAATGTGAGACATAATTTTTTTTAATACTTGTATAATTATTTTGTAAAATGTTAAGTAATGGCAGATATATATTTTTAACAGGATAATCAAAATTCTTAAAAAACATACATTAACCAAAGATAAAACAGAGATTTATTATTTTAGTCTATGTTTGGGCCTGTTTCACAAATTCTCTCTTCAGGGATTTTTTGAACTAGAAACTACTTAGTGTTTGTTAATGTATGTTAACAGATGGATAAATCAATTGATGTTTGGTGAGGGTATGTTTTTAAGAGTTCAATATTTTAACACCGACCCTGGCAGTACATAACATAAACAAAGAAAGAGGAAGAAGGAAGAATAAACACAAATTCGAATCTATTTGTATTTCTTCGTTTTTCTTGTAATGTTTTCAATTTCAACAAATATTTATAGCAACACAAAATCATGAAAGTGCCACAAATTATTTTTTTAAAAGAAGAATTGTTCTTTTAGGTAATAAGATTAAGCAAAATTTTGGGTCACATAAGTTCAACTTACTTGCCATGTTTTCTCCAAATTGTGTACCCATTTGGTAAGACATGTAGGATGGATATGGAGTCGGATACATTGATGCCATCTACAATTTTATTATGCTATAAAACTATAAAAGCCTAATTTTATTGTTAGATTAGCACAAAAGTATTAGAAAAATATTTTGAGCTGATCGACACCTAATCACACTCTGGCCTCTCTACGCGCATTTAGTTTTTTTTTTAAATTGTTTGTTTTGTTATCCAGATACTTATTTACTGTGGGTATTGACTGGTTCAAATGTATTTGAGTAAAAACTTGTGTGATCAAGTATCGATCAGTTTAACATGTATTTAATGACCTGCAGATTACCAACCACCAACAATTTTAAAAATATTTTAAACAATTACAATTATTGCAATTTTTTAGAATGCTAGATGATTATATCAATTTATATGGTAATTGATTTTTTTAGTCTGTCTGTATTTGATGGACGTTCCAGACATCAACTTTAAGACTGGCCATTGAAACTTATAAACTTCAAATTCAAAGTACTTATCTTTAGAACACCAACTAGAAATATTATTAACATACCATACCACCATCTGAAAATAATAAATATTCCCATTATTTTTTTGTATAAAAAGAAATGACTATTAAAACTAGCTTTTCTTAAAATAGTTCTTTCTAAGCATGTGCTCTTTAACTTAAAAACGTGTTCTTTAGAAGTTTTCATTAATTACGTCAAAAGATTGCTACAAGTAACGACAAAATATGGAATTTCATATTTATTTTTAAAGATGGAACTCCTTTTATTTTGGTTGAATTCATTATGTGAAAGGGTATTTAGTGAACTTTAAACCTTACTTTTTATTGCCTGGCTCCAACACATCTTGAGAAGGGGGTTACAGTCCCGAAATACGTATAGGTAATAAAAAGTAAAACAAAAAGGTGAGAAGAGCACAGATGCCACAATTTTAGCCAAAAATTTAAAGTACATATAAGCAATTAAATTAATTTTCCATACTTAAGCCATATCCACACTGATTATTCGGATATGCCATGAACGTATTTGAAAATCCTGCTGAATGTTGTTGGTTCAAAGGAGGTGCTGATGACTGAAATTATGAAAAGCTTAAACAGTTACAAAATTGTTAATTATATTAAAAAACTACACACATAACGAGTTTATTATTAAATCGAATAAATGTAATTATTGTGTAGTTGCTGTATAATACAAAATTTTTTTAGTAATTTGGCTTTGAAACTTTTAGGAAACCAACACAAACTCAGAAATGATATAATAAGGAAATGAGGATTAAATATATTTACAAAAAAGGATAAGACTCAAACAAAAACAAACACCTTACAACAGAAGTATAAAGGCAAGCAAATCAGAAGAAAAAGCATTGCAAGTAGAGAAATAAAATCTTTATAACTCATAATGCTCTGAAAGTAAGAAGGAGAATAACAATTAATTATAAATGTGTGGTGTATAGTGACCATTAGTTAATGATTATTCGGAGATCGTGAGATGCGGTCTGGTGTGACGTAGGTTTGAAAAACATTTTCTTTATGGTGCTGTTTCAATCTTTATTGAGATTATCTTCAGGGCCTGGGATTTTTTTTAATCTAAAATTTTCTAGCAAATGCATATTTTTTTAAAATCTAAAATTATCTAGCATTGTATAAATTCATTTTTTTTCACATCTTATTATTTGTAATTTAAACAATGTTTGTAAATCCCAGGCCCTGAAGATGATCTCAATAAAGGTCGAAACGATGGCACGATAAAAGAAAATGTTTTTCTAAAACTTACGTCACACCGCATTTCACAATCTCTGAATAATAAATAATTATAAGATGAAATTCTCAACCTCCAGAGATAATATGGGGTAGGATGGTTAAAATTTATTGAATTCAAAAACCAAGAAGAAAGCATATACACAATTTCAGCACGTTAGAAATAAAGAAGAGAAAATTATGTTACACTTGATGTATGGATATGAATGCTATTTTACAGAACTTATGTAAAAATTAAAAATTTTCAACTTAGAATGTTGTGTTTTTTTAGCTGTTTACAAATGGCTTAAAACCAAAAATTAGGTCAATGTGTACAATCCCCACTATATCAACATTATCCATTTTCAACGTACCTCAATATGATGATTAACATGTCGATAAATATGAAGTAAATAACAGAAGAAACAAAGGATGGCCTAAAAATTGTAGATCAGCTTTTACGATCTAAACCTACTTGCAATTGAAGTTTACTTACTGTACCAAATTACTATAAAAAACATTACTAAAGAAAGTTGAGAAATATTTCACATTGGACACCAGTCTTTCATGAGGTATTGCACCATAAACATATTTGCAGTAGAAAAACCTCAACAGAGTACATACTGGCAAGAAAATATCGCAACAAATTAATTTTAACTGGTGGAGTTTGGACATAATTCAATAAATAAAATGAGAACTATTTGCTTAACAATAATTTTCAAGCCAAAGCATAGACAACAAGGAAAAGAAAGAAAGCAATGGTAAAAAGTTTTTACAACAGAAAAAATAGTAATGTTTTAACACAATCATCTATGTCTTTACAAAGCAGTGCTTCACAGGAATGTAAACTAAGCAGAAAACTCTGATCTTTATATTAAATGGTACTGCATATTAGTTAAAGTATGTTACTTACCACTACTGATGCTGAAAAAAAATAACACAAACACATTAATATGCTGGAGAAAATGATACATCCATTATACTGAACTAATAAAAAAGATTACACAATTCATATAATATTATTAACATATTTTTATATTATTAAATGAATAAAAAGTTAGGTTTCCAGAAGAAAATTTAATTTGGGGGCTGTGAATGTTATACATATATCTAAATCTTATTGGTAATGTTAGAACTTACATCTTGTACTGTGCTTTGTTCCTTTGTTATACGAAACATCATCAGAAGATTTAGATAAATTCCGATTCAGATCGGTATCTAAAAGAGGCAAACAAAATTTTATTATGATAAGAAAGACAATTTAATTGTAATAAAACATTAATATATAAAATTCAGCTCATATTGGTTTTATAAGAATGTATGTTGTACCTTTTTTAAGTATTTGAAATGATTTTTCTATAAATATAATTTAAATTTTTGAAATTGCATCTATAACTTTTTAAAATTTTTTTAAATTATATTATTATCTATAACTTAAAATGGGAGAAATGAAGTTTTATGATTAATTGGATTTGCAAATCAAGTTTCTGTTTTATAATGTAGTTTTGGAGATGATGAAGTTGATGAACCAGTAGTTTGACCATCTCTGGTCATCCTGATTTCCCTATCCTCTCTGGCGTTCCCTGTTTGGCATTTTGCCATGTTCAGTGATTGGTCTGCGCGATATTTTGCCAGTTGTGTCCTTGCCATTGTTATATAAACAATGCCACATGACAAAATATTCTTCCACCTAGCATCGAATGGCGAAACAGCTAAACTATTAAATTCATTTACATTGGCAGTTTAGAAAAAAAGTATACAAATTTTTAAATTATAAGTCGGAAATCCATTCATTGTAAATCAATATAAACTTGCAATGCTAGATAGATAATCAACTATTTAAATGAAAGTGAGATAAATAATTACTGAGCCAGGCACTTTCTCTGTTTTGTTCCAAAGGCAGATCACATAATTGGTAATGACTAAGTGGAAAAACCTATGTTAAACGGTTTAAAATAGGTTAGCATGCTATTTTCAATGTTTTATTTGCTATTTTATCTCAAAAATTACTAAATAAAAGAAAATATTTAGTATAATTATATTTATGCTTTTGACCTGATTTCCTTGTCAATTTAGACATAATTATGAAATAGATATTTATTATTATTCATAAGTCAACAAACTGACAAAATTGTGATATTCTTTCTAAATTAGAGAAACGGAAATTTTTGAATGCTTGTATGTAGAAAACAGCGAAGAAATATCAGCTTTAAATTTGAAGCATTTTAGTTGTAGGGCAAAATCATTTTGTACTCTGTTTTTGTTATACATGTTTGTATATAAGTTTATAAGCTTTTTGTATTTTATTCCGAACAATGTTAGATTAGAGCCCCCTTACCATTTTTCTACATTGAAGCACAATCAGCTTCTTTATGAGTCGATCAAAAGAAAATACGGATAGTTTTACTCAACTTATATTATCTAATAGTAAAGGACAGGAATTTTGAAAAAGCTCTCTATTAGTAAGGCAATTAAAATGTCTTTTCAATGTACCTTTTTCTTCCGCTGTAACATCTTCTACTTCGGTGGTGGTAGGCCACGTGAATTTATGTGTGGTGGAGTCCGTATCTTCCTGTAAAGAATAGACGTAGATGGAATTCATTTTAATGACTTTTTCTGCAATGGTCAAAATGTTTGTGCACAGTTTAAAAGATCGGCATTAATAATTTAAAAAAAAATAAAAAATAGCGATACGTATTCTTACTTTTTTAAAGGTGTTTTAGGTGTGCAGGAAGCACGCTTGTGTAAAATACATCAAGAACGACGAAGGAAATCTAATAGAAATGCATGAAATCTAACGAATTATATATATGTTAGGCTTAATCAGACGTTAATTGAAAAATATTGACGAGGCAAGGTCATTTTCTTGAAGAGAGGTGTTACAATATATCCATTTTTCTTAAAAAGCCCCCTTGATAAAAAAAAATCCCAAACACTGAGACTGGAAATCTTTCTCGGTTCCATTGGCAGGTGAAAGTAACGCCACAATTCTTTTTTTCCTCCAGGCGATTTGCTTCGTCGCACTTCATTTGCTTCGGTTTCGGATAAACTATAAAAGCGATATTCAGTCTGGAAAAGAGTTTAGTAGTGGAAGGACGGACGATGCACCACACGATGAAGGTAAATTTGAAACTTTTCCTCTTTCGAATTGTTGATTTTCACAGTTTTCTATTCTTTTAGAACTGTCTCCTTAGCTGTCTGGCTCTTGTTTTCCTTTTGGATTTCGTTTCTCCAAAAGTCTACCCGATCGATCGTTATTATGATCAAGACTCAGCCGCCTCCGATCGTGAGTAAACCTCTCAATTACACGATTGAAAAATCGTGTTAAATACGATTTTTACGAATAAAAATATTTTCTCATAATTATTTGAAAAAATATTTTTTAGACCACTACGGAAGAGTTCACATAAAGGTGTATCGCGGACCGTCACAACATCATTTCGCTCCTCACGGTTATTGGATCAAACAGCCAGCAGACGACCACCACTAGACAAAATAGGAGCACTGCAAACAGCTCATCTTTTACGTATATTAAATTATTATTTTCATACAGTTTATCTGTGTTACAAGTATTACTAATTTAAGAAAATAAATGTTTTATAAGTGTTAAGTAAGAATTAAAAGCGTATAATATTTATACGAGTCCTACTCTTCAATCCTAATAACGATTTTTGTGTTATTTAAACTAACGACCAAATTTTGATCGTTAGTAATAATTTATGTTTATAACAAATATCAGGATATTTATTCTATAGAAAATCTAATATCTAAAATGCGCTCACGTCAAAATCCAGGCGTCGTCTAGTTCTAGACCTCACTCCCTGAAAAAAATAATTAAGGAAATAAGGATACAGACTAAGGCCATTTAGAATATTACAAAAAAAAAAGCAACAACATTATTTCTGCTTCAAAAACAAATATTTGAAATTATTTAATTAGGGGGGTCACCCCAAGTTCATATAACCTAGATGTTGAAATACCCTCGTAAAAAAATTAATTCTTATTGGATTAAATTGCCATAAAAATTTTCTTTCGACAAAACAGATGATAATAATATAAGATAAAATATAACTTCACTGGAGATTATCTCCTAAACCATTGAAGACAACTACTGATGCGGTTTATTGACCAGATTGTAACTTTAAAATCTAATCGAGAACCCAATACGACCTATTCGTTCACGTGTTATGTCATAAACTCACCAAACAAAGACGAGTTTCAAATTGTTCAAATTCAAAACGAAGCTTTTAATGTCATTTAGCACATCTTACCTTGTTGCTGCTAACAGAAGCCATTCCGGATTGTGAAAGGGAGAATTTTCTTGTGTGTAAGTGTTTACGTGTCGGAAAAGTAAATAGTGTTTCTCTTGAAAGTTATTTTACATATGTTTTTTTTTTAAATTTATTGTTGATGACAGTAATAACTTGATTAGAATATATTATTTAGATGTTATTATATATAAAAAAATATTACCAATAGATTAACTAAATTATGCTTTTCAGGGGGGAAACCTTTTGATTTCCGAAAAGAAATCCCCTTCCTTCTAACCCCGGCTTTGAATTAGTCAGTCTCAGCTAACCCAAGGATTTCTCGTAAAAAACTTGAAACCAATATAAGATTTTTGTCAAGGTTGAAGTATTTTTGCGGTGGAATCCATTATAGGAAATAGAGGAAGAACGCCTTTAGTTCCAGCAATGGTCCATTCCAGGCGAATAATCTTTTAATTAATAAAGTACTCAACTACTCCAGCTCCACCTCATGGTTTACGAGATAAACGCAAAAAACCGAAAAAAATTCGACAATTTTTTCGATCGATTTGAACTTATTCTTAATGTAAACGATTGTGCTAAGGCGCTGGTAAACCTAATAGAGTACGGGAAAAACGGGTAAAAACAAAAAATCCGAAATCTTCTTGGAGAGATTTGAATTTGTTCTTAATGGAAACGACCTTGCTGAGTCGATTGGCGCTGGAATTAAGCTCGTAAAACTCATAGTTTATGGGATAAACGAAAAAATCTAGAAAAATTCGAAATTTTTTTCAATAGATTTGAAATTGTTCTTAATGGAAACGACCTTGCTGAGTCGATTAGCGCTAGAATTAAGCTCGTAAAACTCATAGTTTATGGGATAAACGAAAAAATCCAGAAAAATTCGAAATCTTTTTCAATAGATTTGAAATTGTTCTTAATGGAAACGACCTTGGTGAGTCGATTGGCACATGAATTAAGCTCGCGAACCTCATAGTTTCCGAGATAAACGCAAAAACTGGAAAAAAATCTTCTCAAAAGCAAATAGCATTTTAATTATGTATTTATAACAAAATGTTATACACGATTTTCCTGTTTGTGTGAACATTTGAAGAAAAAAAAAAAATCGTCTACAATTTTCCATTGGAGTGAGTGGCAGATTGAAAATTATTGTCGTGTCGTTGGTTCACTGGGGAGAGCACAAGGATTTATTTTCCCTGGATATAAAAAAAAAAAAATGTACAACAATAGCATAAAGGGCTGGGGTCGTCTTTGTGGTGGGTCCGAGTACCGAGTCGTAGGTCTGACCGAGTGGGGCCGAGTTTGTACAGCATTTGTGACAAGTAAAGCGAAAGATTCAATCTGGGACATTGTGTGCCCTGAGGGTGTGAGGAAGGGCTTGTATATTTGTGTCCTCGGGTTGGGAAGGGTGACATTTGCATGGCATTAGGCGTCTAGCTCATATTACTGCTCCCTCAGCTGAAACTAATCGTAAATCGCTTCATTTTCATATCCTCCCCTCGTCCGCCCATTTTATATCCTTACGTTCCTTCCTTAACCCAGTTCTTTGGAAGACTTTCCTACAGCCTCTACCCCCTTTTCACCCGGCCGGGAACCTACTTTGAGGCAGTATATCACTCAGACTTGACTTCAACTCCACCTGTTACCTCCAATTTCCCTCTATCCTTGAAAATAAATACGATCAATTTTTTTAACTTGGCCTCCCACCCTGTTGCTAATGTTACGACAAAGTATAATAAAAATATATCGTTAGTCAAAAAATGGATAGAACGAAAAAATCCTTAATAATAATCTTTTTTTATTTTTTATCTAAACCAAAACCTTAATAAATTGAAAAAGAATTTATTTGGTCAAGCGGACCGCGAAACCTAATAAACTTAATAATAATTTAAAAACTCAAATATACTGTCATTTTAAGGGAAATCAAATATTTATAATAATAAGCGAGCCTGGCCAGCCTTTCCTGCAAATAATATTTCAACAGAACAATGAGTAGATTATTTTAAGCGTATTTAATGTTAAAAGATGCGAATTTATGATTTTATGCAGAACTTTAGACGATAAACTCTTGAATAAATCAATCGAACAATGAAAAATAATTGGCATTTTTTCAAAAACAATAATAACGCCTCTGGTTCTGATAATATTCCGTAGTGATTACCAAGAAGAAGTAGGGAAAAGTTCATGGAAATTTTTATAATTGGCTTTTTATACTTCTGAAACAAAGGGAATTTTAAGTTTTCGATTTAGGGTGAGGTTTGATACATAAAATGGAAGATTAATGATCGTAGGACTTTTGAAATCTTCAGATGTTGGAATGCTTGGTCAACCCCTAAAGTTCGATGTCATAAGACTACATAGGCTTGAGGATTAACAAAAACCTTTTGTTTTCGTCGGGTGGACGTGTGATCCGTCTAATTGTGAAGTTTGTACTTTTTATTATTTATTTATTTTATTTCAATTTTGCACTTTATTGTACCGTATGTTGAGGGGATGTAAATGGTTCTGAAGGTATCTAAATGGGATGACGGGAACATCATGGGGGAGAGGATACGTTTTTGGGAGGTACAAGAATGCTCCCTTGTGGGACGTCCGTCAGCTTGGATAAAATAGATAGGGGATATCGCTATGCCCGGTCTAACTCTGAAGTAACGGTCAGGCAGGTGCGATTTTAGTATTTAGAATTTTTAGGTCAGAGTGACTACGAATGCAAAGGAGCACACTCGGATATTCATACTCACAGGAGCATGACATGACGTCCACAACATGATGACATTAATTGATAGTGAAGTGAAGGAACCTAAATCCAAACTATTGATTCGGAATAGTTTCTTGGGATTCGATGATGGGGAGAGAAAAGACTGACAGGGCTGTATGATAAAGAATGCAGGTTTGGATGGTTTATAGATCAATAATTTTCTCCCTTTTCAACAAAGGCGATCCTAGCATTTCTAGTAATTACAGGCCTATATGATCATAAACATGATTAAAAAAATTAAATAATTTTGGGAAACGATTGACGGATTTGAGTAAGTGGAAAAAACAGTATTTTGAAAAAAAAAGGGAGGGGTTTTTAACCTACGCCTGTATTTTTAGCTTGGCCACCCTAGCAAAACTACAAACGAGCAAAAAGTGCGGTAAAATACCTGATTAGTAGATCTGAAAAGTGTGCTCGAAGTTTCAACGTTGTATAAACTCAGCTCATTCATGGTTTTAATTAACTTTATCTCGTGTATATATATATATATATATATATATATATATATAAGTGGCAAAACATGGAGGGAGTGGTGTATTGCGACTAT